CCACTGCACTCCAGTCTGGGGGACAGAGTGAGATTCCAACTCAAAAAAAAAAAAAAAAGTGTTGGCCTCTCAAAGTGCTGGGATTATAGGCATGAGCCACCGCACCCAGCTAATTTATACACACACACACACACACACACACACACACACACACACACACACACACACATATAGAGTGTTTGATAATTTTATTAATTATTGTTTATTATTTAAAATTAAGATGATATGATTTGGAGCAAAAAATCCCATATAACTAATCTTACCCCTCAGTGGTAATCATTGTTAAGATTTAGGTATAAATTTAGATTTTTTTTTTCTGTGTGTGTATATATACATATTAAATCAATCTTAGATTATACTATACATAATGCTTTATAACTGTTTTAGAAAACTTTACAAGATAGCATGAATTCTCTCCTGTCATTGACAGCATGTTATGTTGGTGTTCTTCAGAGTGGTGTGAGGAAAATCTATGTCAGAATCACCAAGGGGAGATGCTTTGACTTGCAGGTCCTTGGGGCCTACTCCAGCCCCACTAACTCCAACTGGGGTCTGGAGCCCAGGAGCCTACACTAAACAAGCCCACCTGGCCATAGTTACACGTGGTTACGTCTGAACATGCATGTCCTATGTCTTATTTACCATGGCTTTGTAACATTCTGTGATTGGATATACCATATTTATGTAACCAGGCTCTGACCGTTGGATATTTTTGTTGTTTTGATTATTTGATATTATAAACAACACCATGATGAACATCCTCATTCAGATATCTGTGAGCTCTTGACAACTGTTTTCTAAGGACACATTGCCTAAAGAGACTCTTCTAAAACAGGACAATAAGCATGATCTCCTTTTGTATTAATGACTTTGATTGCACCAACGGTCACACAGTGCTAGGCATTTTGAGGTTTGTGCCTTCTTTTTCCTATTTTTCACTTTTCTGTAATGGCCATGCATGCCTGAAGGTAATCCTTCCCTCTTTAGTGTACAATTTCTCCTCTGCTGTGGACCTAAAAGGCTGTTAGAGTTTGTGTAAAGTATGAGTCAAGAGACTAACAATAGGCACGAGAGAAGAGTCAGATCTGAAGCAAAGGGATAGAATGATAAAGTGTATGACCTCTAGACACAGGGGGGTCTGGAGTCTGTCCTCAGAGGTGGAAGTTATGCAAACCTCTTCCCAGCTCCACGCCCAGTGGTGTCTCATGGCTTGCTTGAAATGTGCCTTGGTGGGAGCATTTATTCCAGGGGCATTGGCAAATGCTACAAAAGCGGGTTTTTGTTTGTTGTGCTTTTTGAGAGTTGGCTATTAATTTACCAACATGCTCTTGGCTTCAGTGCATGGGGTCTACAAATGGGCATTTGGTTCTGGGCCGTCTTTTGGACTTCCTCCTTATTCTTTAATTGGGTTTCAGAGGTTTGAAGGCACCGCAACTCTGAGTTCTGGATAATGGAGGTGATCCTGCCCGTGGATTTACTGTGTTTGGATTTAGATGGGGCCACTACTTTGGGCTAGGCCAGAGCGAGTTGTCAGGGTCCTGCCACAGGAAGCTTGGAGTGGAACTGACCCATCTCCCCTGCTCTGTGTCCATTGCAGCTGGGTGGGCTACGAACAGGCCAACTGCAAGGGCGAGCAGTTTGTGTTTGAGAAGGGTGAGTACCCCCGCTGGGACTCGTGGACCAGCAGCCGGAGGACAGACGCCCTCAGCTCCCTGAGGCCCATCAAAGTGGTGAGCGCCCGCCCATCATCCTGCTTCCTCTGTTCCTCCTGTTGCCATCCTGGAGCAGAGGTCCGGGGACCCAGAAGGAGTCTTTGCCTCTAGTGATGGTCACTGGGTGACCTTGCAGAAGTCATTCGACCTGCCAGAGCGTCAGTCTCCTCATCTGTAAAATGGGATATTAGTGTCTACTGTCCTAAGAGTCCAGTGTGACTAACCCTGAGGGTTGCTACATTGCACAACTCCAGAGGACTCCATTCGCAAGACACACAATGCTCCAGGGGTGCTACTCACATTGTATTTTATGTCGATGGTGTTCCCCACGGCTGTGCAACTCCCACCACGGAGTGATTGCTCACTCAGCGATGGTCAGCATAGATTTTAAAGGGAATTCTGGGTTTGGTGTGGAGGCGATGTTGGTTTGCCTTTTATTTAAGACCCGTGCCCCTGGGCACTTCCCAGTGCTTCTCTGATGCAGATTCTTACTAGCGTGTGAGTGTGTGAACTCTCAGGGAGGGGAAAGGTTCCATGCTCAGTTACACATCCGAATCTTCCAAGCCCAGTCTAGTCCCTCCCAGAATGTGATGGGAGATTGGAAAACACTGGCCTTAGCATCCCAGAGATGTGTTCATCTGTTGAGTCTGTTACTCCCAGCTGTGTGACCTCAGGCAAGTCACATTACTTCTCGAAGCCTTCGTCTTCTCACCTGCCAAATGGCATATGAGCAGTTTATAGGATTAAATGAAATAACTAAGGAAAATATCGGAACAGGAGGATGGTAAGCGATTTGGAGATGAAGGAAAACCAGTATGTGTAAAGTGCGTACTGGAGCCACACATGTGTGCATATGTGTTCACGTGTGGGTGGCTGGGCAGATCATGGCTGCCATTTATGAAAGAGGAAGCTGAGGTTGTAGGAGGGAAAAATGACACTTCAGAATCAAAGGCTCCCTCCCCAAAGTGTAGAATATTGGAGTGTTACACGAAAAAGGCCCAGGAGAAACTCAACAGGGTCGCGGTCCGATGGCAGTTGTCTTAGACACATAGTGGGTGTACTGGATGGAGGATCATGGGTGGAGCAGGCTAATCTCACCTCTGGACCATGAGGAGGGGGTGGGAAGGATCCCCTGGGCCCCTCGCCCATACTCACTTTCCCCCTTCCCTGTCAATAGGACAGCCAAGAGCACAAGATCATCCTCTATGAAAACCCCAACTTTACGGGGAAGAAGATGGAAATCATAGATGATGATGTGCCCAGTTTCCACGCCCACGGCTACCAGGAAAAGGTGTCGTCTGTGCGGGTGCAGAGCGGCACGTAAGTGCACGCCCAGCCCTGGTGTGCCCTGCCCCGGAACCCAGACTCCGGAGTCCTAAGTCCTGCTTGGTCCTGAACTCAGATGATAGCGCACATGTCACTGGACTCTCTCGACCTCAGTCTTCCCCATGGAAAGTGGGTAGAAATCATCATATGTGGCCTACAGCCCCTGAGGTTCCATCCAGAGCTGTGTTTGGGGCAACACCCTGCCTCTGGAGTGGAGGAAGCTTGACTTTAACCTCAGCCCCACTGAGCAGGATGGGGTCTCTCAGAAGGGCAGCATGAGGCAGAGGAGGGGCAGGTTGAGGGAGAAGGATGGGGTGAGGTGAGTCTTAACCCTGCTACCTTGGACTACGTGAATTCCTGTTTGGGAGCAGAAGGTGTCACTTTCCATGGAAGTAAACTTCTTAGGCACATAGACCTTGGCCATCAGCATCGAGGGATTTCCCACTGTGGAAAAGCTGGATTCCACAGGGGTCCACAGATGATTTTTGTGTGCTGGTGTCGGCCCGTAACAGCTTGTATTTGAAATTTCTGTGAGCTAGTTGATTAATTATTGGGAACTCGAAATCAGCTACTGTGGGAGTATTTACACCACAGAAATTGGCAAACACTACAAGGTAGGGCTTTTTCCTTCCACAAGAGAGCCCGTTTAGCAGCACATGCTGTTTTCTTGGGGTTTGTTAACCTCCTAAAATAACGTGCCAGGTTTTGTGTTCATATTCCCTTCATTCACCCATTCATTCATTGACTTAATTTGTCAAGTGATGTCATGTGCCAGGTACTGTGTTAGGTGCTCAGTGTGTGAAGGGAGATTAGAGAGATCTGCTATCTGCCTTGTGTAGCTAACAGACTAGAAGGGGCAACTGTTAATAATTTGAGAATCTGCTGGGCATGGTGGCTCATGCCTATAATCCCAGCACTTTGAGAGGCCAAAGAGGAAGGACTGCTTGAGCCAAAGAGTTTAAGACCAGCCTGAGCAACATAGTGAGACCTCATCTTTACAAAAATAAAAATAAAATAGACAGGTATGGTGGTGTACACCTGTAGTTCCAGCTACCCAGCAGGCTGAGGCGGAAGGATTGCCTGAGCCCAGGAAAGTGAGGCTGCAGTGAGCTGTGATGGTGCCACTGCACTCCAGCCTGTGTGACAGAGTGAGTCCTTTTAAATAATAATATTAATTATTATTATTAGTCAAGAATCCACACAATTCTAAGCTACTTTCTTGAGGAAGAGACTCTAGAATAGAGAGCTCAAGGAAGAGTAAGAATTGTAGGGATACAGAGGGCAGGAAGGGCATTCCAGACACAGAGAACAGCATGTGCAAAGGCCCTGTGGTGGGGAAGAGCCTGGTGGATCTGAGGAACTCTAAAAGGCCAGGGTGACTGGAGTGCAGAGACAGGGACACAAGAATGAGAAGTAGAGCTGGGGGAGTCCACAGAGAATGGCTGGCAGGTCTGTGTAGACCAGGACTGTGTGTCATTTCCTGGGGAGACCATAACTTTCATCAGGTGCTCAAAAGAGTTAGTGACCACCTAAAAGGTAAGTACCCCAAATGGTGAGAGGGTTACAGATGGCTCCTGGAAACTGCCCGCTCCCATTTGAACTTGCAGCTGGGCTTGGAGGTGGGATAGGAGAGGACAGAGGTGGGTGGAGGGGTCATATTCTACACTTCAATGAGCTTAAGATCACGCCTTGCTCTGATCCCAGTGCCAGGCCTTTCATTCAGGTTTGCGCCAGGAGGGAGTGAGCTCCCCATCAAGAGGAGGGAGAAAGCAGAGGCCCAGTGCTTGAGGGTGGGGTGGAAAGGGGTGTCCAGCTCAGCACCACCCAGGGAGTGTTGTCGTGGTGAGGAGGCCGTGCCTTTCTAATGGCTGATGGGCGCTCTCTCTTTCCCTTCCCCCCACCCTACTTCCCCTCCCACCGGCCTGTAGGTGGGTTGGCTACCAGTACCCGGGGTACCGCGGGCTGCAGTACCTGCTGGAGAAGGGAGACTACAAGGACAGCAGCGACTTCGGGGCCCCCTACCCCCAGGTGCAGTCTGTACGCCGCATCCGCGACATGCAGTGGCACCAGCGGGGTGCCTTCCACCCCTCCAACTAGCACCCTCCCCTCACCCCTCCTTCCAGGGTCCCAGTTGGCTGCTGGGATCCCGCCATACTCCTGACGAGTGAATAAAGTGTGACTTGCAAATTGTCTACTGCGGGTCTTTTATCCCCAGGTACAGCTGGGGTGTGTGTGTGTGTGTGTGAGTGTGTGTGTGTGAGAGAGAGAAAGAGAGAGAGAGAATGAGAATGAGAGAGAGATAATTAGTGAGTGGCTGAGCTAGGGACAGAGCAACAGGCCCTCACTGGGCCTTACAGGTCTGTAGTTACTTAGCTGTGTGACCTTGGATGCTCTCTCCATCTCTGTTTCTTCATCTGACTTACAACTCCCTTGCCCCGTGAGTGGCTGGCTTGGCAGATCTGGGCTCCCTTTTACAAGATAGCTGAGCACAGTTGCTCAGAGGGGCACGTGACAGGGGCCCCAGCCCTTAAAAATGTATCCACGGCCAGGCACAGCGGTTCATGCCTGTGATGCCAGCACTTTGGGAGGCTGAAGTGAGAGGATTGCTTGAGCCCAGGAGTTTGAGACCAGTCTGGGCAACAAAGACCTTGTCTCTTTAAAAAATTGGCCAGGTGTGGTGGCGCACACCTCTAGTCTCAGGAGGCAGAGGCAGGCGAATTACTTGAACCCAGGAGCTTGAGGCTGTGGTGAGACAGGATTGTGCCACTGCATTCCAGCCTGGACAACCGAGTGAGACCCCCAACTCCCAAAAACAAAACAAAACGTATCCACGGCCAGCCATTCCCACAAGACTCTGCTACCTTGAGTCTGTGAGGTCCTTTGGATATATCAGAGGAGCCAAGAACCCTAAGACCCCCACCTCATGGGGAGAGCCATCATCACGTGCTGGTGTGTTCGCTGATCCCTTCCTTCATCATGGGGCTGGGGAGACGGTTAACAAAGTAAGAATCCACTCAAATCTGAGCTGCTTCCTTGAGGAAGAGATGCTGGTGCTGAGCTGGCCTTGAGGGTAGTCCAAGAGAAGACAGAAACAAGGTGACTAAGTTGGTTTCCCATGGCTGTTCTAGGCACTGGCCAACGACAGGGCTGCAGGCCAGTCTGTGACTTCTCCCAGCCTTGATGTGTTTGTTGCAAAAATAGGGGAAATGGTACCTTCCCAGCAGGCTGCACAAGGGCGATGAGATGATGCAGGCGTTCGCTCCATAGACTAGTTTTGTTTCTGCTTTTTCAGTCAAGGTCTCACTCAGCCTCCAGGGCTGAAATGCAGTGGCATGGCAGCTTCAACCTCCTGGGCTCAGGAGATCCTTCCACCAGTAGATGGGACTACAGGGAGTGTGCCACCACGCCTGGCTAATTTTTTTGGGTGGGGGTAGAGGGGAAATTTCACTATATTTCCCAGGCTGGTCTCAAACTCCTAGGCAATCTTCCCGCCTTGGCCTCCTATAGGGCTAGGATTATAGGCATGAGCCACCACACCCGGCCTCCATAGACAAATGTTTTGTTGCTTATATACACGGCGAATATTTGCTTCCTGGTGCATTTCTTTCCATTTTTCTTTCTTGTATCTTTTGATGTCATTTCACATTTTAATGCAAACAGCAGTCCTTTTCTTTCTGGGTTGTGCCTCCCATGTCTTAAAGGGATTCTTCCTAATCCCAGGTCACCCATGCATTCTCTAATATTGTTTTTCCTAAATGCTTTCAAGTGTTGCTCTTCATGTTTAAATTCTTAATCCTTCTGGAGCTGTTTTGTGTATAGCATGCAGTAGGGAACCAATTTCTGTTTTTTACTTTGTATAACCCTTGTCCTAATGACCGAGGAGTCCACTTCCCCCGCTGTGGTGCAATGTCACCTCCTTAGTTTATTACATTCCCCTGTGCACATGGGGTCTATTTCTGGGTTCTCTTTTCTGCTCCTGGAGTCTACCTGTTCATCCCTGTGCTTTTACTGCGTTGTGTTAATCACTCTTGCTTTGCCATCAGTCTTGAGGCCCCTGAATTCGTATGTTAAAATCCCAACCTGGGGACCTCAGAATGTGATCTCTTTTGGAAACTGGGTGGTATGGGCCCCTAATCCAATATGACTGGTGTCCCTATGAAAAGGGGAAATTCAGCCAGGCTCGGAGGCTCAGCCTGTAATCCTGCACTTTTGGGAGGCTGAGGTGAGTGGATTGCCTGAGCCTGCGGGTTCGAGACCCGCCTGGGCCACTTGGCGAGACCTCATCTCTACAATAAATCAAAAATTAGCCAAGTGTGGTAGTGTACGCCTATAGTTCCAGCTACTTGGAAGGCTGAGGCGGAAGGATCGCTGGAGCCCAGCAGGTCAAGGCTGCGGTGGCCGGGAGCGGCCACTGCACTCCAGTCTGGGTGACAGAATGAGACTCCAACTCAAAAAAAAAAAGGGGGAAATTCACAGGGTGGATGCCAAAGAGGAAGATTGGGGTGATGCTTCTACAAGCCAAGGATGCCAGCAACCACCAGAAGCTGGAGAGAGGCAGAGAACAGAATCTCCCTCACAGCCGTTGGAGGAAAGGGCTGCCAACTCTGCCAACACCTGGACCTTGGACTTCTAACCTCTAGAACAATATATTCCTGTTGTGCAAAACACCTGGTTTGTGGGTCTTTGTCCAGCAGCCCAAGCATACTCTACAGCCATGGTGGGAGGAAAGAGCTGGGGACATCAAGAGAAAGACGCTTGTGGGGTAAATGCAAGACACATGCCCTACTCCCTTCCCCTGCTGATGACTGTCCCTTGGTCAGGAGGATGGTCCCAGGCCAAGACTATCTGTGCCCAGTCAAGAAGCCCTTGGAACTATGCACACCTGTGTACTCAAGGCAGTCATTAAGAGGATACATCCCTATTCCTGCTTCTTTGCAAGTAATGCTACTTCATGTGTTTTGCTCCCTTTCCCATGCTGGGGGTATATAATCTCTCCCCACATCTCTTGGGGTGAGAAGAGCTTTGTACCAACCAGCCACCATCAGTCCTTCCTGTGAGAAGTAGTAAACCCATGTCTTTGCCAACCTGTCCTCCAGGTGATTTCTCCAAAATAGGTAAACATTACGCGAGTGTCCTCTCTGATTTGGGGCTCTCGCAATACTGGTTCCTTCCTGGACCAGGCAAGGCCAGCTTCTCGAAGTGGGCGATCCAAAAAGAGCTGGAATTTGCCAGGTAAACCTTGGGGAGGACAACAATCTTGGCAAAGGGAGCAGGGTACGCAAAGCTGGGCAAGCAAGACAGCATGCAATGTTCTGGTGTTCCACATGAGGTGAGCACTTTACAACACAGACACTTCAGAGGGCAGCTGAGTGCAAGGTCCTGAAAGACGGAAGAAGAATGATGATGATGATGATGATGGATGCATGTGTGGCAGGTGACACTTCTGTTCCAAATAGAGTCACCGAGGGTGGCTTGAAGGTTGGGGTGAGCCGCACAGCTGGGCATTGATGCTGGCTGTTGGCCGGACCTCAGCTGGGCTGGCATGTTGGAGACCCACACATGGACACTCCACGCAGCTTTTGGCTTCCTCACAGCTTGGTGGCAGGGCTTGAAAAGTGAGTATTCCAAGAGAAAGGTAGAAAGCTGTGTGACCCAGCCTCGAAAGCCACACAGCATTGCTTCTTCCTCACTCTATCAGAAGGGGCGGCTGTCCGGTGGGGGAGTCCAGGTTCAAGGAGGAGCAAGCAGCCCCACAGGCAACGGGAGGAAGGCCAACGCGTGGGATGAGATACAAGAGGCCGCTGTCTTGACAGAACACACCCTCTTCTCTGCCAGAGAGGGGAGGAGACACCAGGAACGGGCACCCCAGGGCGTCGAGGCCTAGGTGCGCATGGTCCAGGCAGAACGTCTCCTTTCCCCTCAGGGTTGGACCTGACGACCGACCTCAGTCCAAAGTCGCGCTCACTCTGCCTGAGTGTGTCTCTGTGTCCTCTCTCTCTCCCTCTTTCTCTAGACCTGCGTCTACTTCTGGCACCCCTGCTCTTTCTCTGCTCGCTCTCTCTCAAACTCTCCCTTCTTCCCTGATTGCTCTCCTTAACCTCCCTCTTGATGGCTTTCTTTATCATTTGCGTTCTGTCCTGCTGTTTTACTCTCTCTCGCTCTCCATTTCTCTGCCCCTTTCTTTCCTCTCCTTATCTCTCTGTCTCCCTGCCTCTCCCCTTCCCCTGTTCTCCTCCCCCCTTCCTCCCCGACCCCTGCCCTCTCGGCGGACGGCTTCCCTGCCTCCGGCCTCTGCCGGCCGCGCCCGCCTCTCCCTCCAGCCACCTGGGGCGCGCTTCCCCTTCTCGCCACGAGGTGTCAGCAGAGCGTCGTCCTCGGGGACCCCGCTCAGAGGGCAGCGCCGCTCCGCCCTGATTGGCGGCGAGCGCCGTCAGTCACAGCAAGTCCGGGCTGGGCGGGGCCCGGGTGCCGCCTTCCCCGCCCGGACAACGAGGCCTGGCCGGCCGGAGCTGGACGGCTCTGCGGGGTCCAGCCGCCTACTGCCGCGCGACTCGCGAAGTTCGTTGGGAGCGGCCGGGAATAAGAAAAGCTCCAAGGGGCAGTTTGCCTTGGGAAGGTCCCCCGGATTCTAAAGTCCCTTCTCATCCCCACGTCCCTGGAAGCGCCGCGAACCATCTGACTTAGAGCGCGGGTTCCAGCCTCGGTTTCCTTCCAAATGGGGGCCACAGTCGTGCCGTCTCATGGGATTACCGGGAGAAGTCGATGAAATGACGCCCGTGAAGTCTTTAGGGCAGAGCCAGACGTGCCGCGGGGGCCTCAGCAAAGGGGCGCGATGTGGGAAGCGCTTAGAAGGCTCCTGGAAGGAGGAGCCTGGGGTTTTGTAGGAGGAGTAGGAGTTTGCCATGTGCACTGGGACTCAAGGACCTCCAGCATATTCATTCATCAATTCACTCCTTCACCATTCACTCATTCACTCCTGTCCAAAGGCAAAATGACAACGAATTTCGTTTAAATATCTTATTTGACTTGTATTTGTCATTCTAGAAGGGCAACGCGTCACACTATGCAATAGAAGATGTGTCGCAATGAGCTGATGGAGGAGGTTGGCTTTATAGACAGAAAGGAGCTGAAGGAAACTGAAACAGGGAACAAAAAGCAGATGGGTGGTGTCAAAGTTACCTTCCCTGGAA